ATGTCTATTTGAAAAATTATTTTTATGCACAGAATTATTTTGATAACTTTTCCTAGGTTGTCTATCATGCACATTTTCATTCCTAGGTTTTTGTCTAGGTTGTCTAGTGTCCCTAGGTTGACTAGATTTTCTATTATCCTGATTTTTAACTTTCTTATGTTGAGCCTTAGGATGTTTTCTAGATGTTTGCTCAACGTTTTTATGCTTAGATTCATTTTTATCAAAACCTATTCCTTCCTTAGAAAAGTGCATGGTGTCTAGAAGTAAATTAAGATCTTTGTGTGGTGTATTAAACTTCTTAACGGTACTCTCAAATTTTGCAACTTTTTCTTTTAAAGTCTTGCAAGATTCACATTCACTTGAAGAACTTTCTGGTTTGTCAGCGCTTCTCTTACCATAAAATTTATTTTCTTGTTTCAACCTTTCATTATCTTTTTCCAGTTTGTCAAAATCATTTTTAAGAGTTGAAAGACGTTTCTTTAAAGATTTATTGGTTTTAGAAGCGCTAAAAAATTCATCATAAAGCTCATGTAGTGCTTCTTGCATTTCTTCAAAAGTATAAGAGTCGGAAGAATTGATACATACCTCTTGAACGTCGTCAGTTTGATCTTCGTGCGCCATGAGGCAGAGGTTGAAGGACTAAGTACGCTCAAGAACAACTCAACCTTCACACGGGAGCTATATGTCTTACCCTATTGCAATAGTGACAAACTACATTTGGGTTATTCATCCTCCTAGGTTGATAGTAGTTGCTAGGGGGCCTAACCGTATTCATGTCTCTTCTTGATCCGTTGACTCATCCCCGGAGTCGCCTCCCCAAGAGATGTAGGCGCGTTGCTTTTTAAGCCAGGTTTGTCCTTGCCGCCTTTGCTTTTTGGACACCTCGGCTTGATGTGGCCTATCTCACCACAACCATAGCACTTCGGGGGCCCGTCGTGCTTTCTTCCTTTTCTTTCAAATTCTTTCTTCATGAATTTGTGGAACTTCTTGATAACGAGTCCGAACTCGTTGTCATCGTTTCATGAGTCTCCATTCGGGTGTGAGGCTTCGCAGGATTTTCCTCACGAGATCCCTGTTGGTGTACGTCTTCTTGAGAGCGTGAAGGTCGTTGATGATTTTTGAAAACCAATCGAACATGTCATCGATCTTTTCTCCTTCCTTCATCCTGAACATTTCGTACTCCTGCGTTAGGAAGTCAATTTTGGCTTCCCGAACTTGGTCCGTACCTTCATATGTGACCTCTAGCTTGTCCCACATTTCTTTGGCAGTGGTGCAGCAAGAAATCTTACGATAATCATCAGGATTGACGGCACAGTACAGCATATTGATAGCCTTGGCGTAGTTCTCCACCTTTTTGATGTCTTCGGCATCAAATTCGTCCTCGGTCTTTGGGACGATTTTTTCACCGACCTTCTTCATTGGAGTTTCCTCGCCATTCTTGATGACCAACCACAACTGAAAGTTGGTTGAGCGGATATAAATTCTCATCCGCTCTTTCCAATATGTGTAGTTAGTGCCATCAAAGAGCGGTGGCCTCGAGGTTGATTGACCTTCTCCAATTCCTGCATAAAGATTTCTAGAAGAAGAACCCATGATCGCTTTACTCTCA